AAATCGCTGGTGTTAAACTATTCCACAGAGAGGTTGTACGCGGAAGAAAACTCCTCTTGAAACGTACAGTGGTGGACCGCCAAGCATCCAGATGGTGTGGATGGTACCGGGACGTTTTCCACGTAGTGCGTTTACGAAATTTGGCGGCTGGGATTAATCCGAACAATTCCTGAGAGCACTCTCCATGGTATATGCGAAAGAAAATGCAAAGTGATGCAACATCTCTTCGCATTGCCAGTGAATCGAGCCGATCGGAAAGCACTCGGTCATCGACGATTCGAACCGCTCTGCGCTGAATGCGGTCAAGTGGAAAGAGCTGGTACTGGGGGAGCCCCAGCCCAGAGATGGAAACAGTATTCCATGTGCGGCCAAACCTGCGCCTTCCAAAGTTGCAGGCGGTGTGCCGGCATGAAATACTGTCCCGCTCTGCTGAGCACGCCAAGCTTTTTAGAGGCCAATTTGACCTTCTCTTCCAAGTGACCACGAAACTGCACGTCACTCGATATGTCGACGCCGAGGATTCCGATACTGGCTGAGGCAACAAGGGAAGTGCCTTGAAACTGAGGAGATACGACAAAGGGATTCTTTTTAGTGGTTAACGTGCAAACTTGTGTCTTCTTAAACTGGACTAGATTTAGTCGCCCCCAATCCGAGACTCTGTTCAGCAAAGACTCGACTTCAGACACAAGTTTGTCCCGGCACTCGGAGACGTTTTCCCGAGAAATATTGGCTCGGCCGGTGTAAAGAGCATCACCAGTGCTTTCATCTGCATAGCAATGAATGTTACGGGTTTGCAACATATCATTGATATGCAGAAGAAACAGCGTTGGCGATAGCACGCACCCCTGTGGAACACCAGCATTAATAGGCTTGGAATCGAAGCTTGCACCGTCTACAACGATCTTGATGCCTGTGTGCCTGATCTGCAAGAAAGCTGGTGATCCAATCGCACAATTTCTCGAGAAGCCCGTAGGATAGGAGCTTCGAAAGAAGCGCTTTGTGCCAAACCTGATCGAAGGCCTTCGCAATGTCCAAATTAACGGCCAATGCCTCACCACCACCAGCTGACCGACCACGGCGAAAACCGTATTGGCGGTCACTTATCAGCTGGTGATCCTCAAGATACCTCATGAGCTGGCAGTTTACAATGGACTCCATTGTTTTGGAGAACAAGGAGGTGATGGCGATAGGCCGGTAGTTGGACGGGGCTGAGCGGTCCCCTTTTTATGCATCTTTTTACATATATATATATATATTAATGAATTCATTTTCATTTCATTTAAATTACAGTATTTTATAGTACTATTTATAGTACTCGATATATAAATTATATTATAAAATGTCACACTAAATAATATTACACATTTGTTTTAAAAATTAAATTTCATTAAATATTGTCAACTGATCATTCGTCATTTATATTATGTAAATAAAGTTTAAAAATTTTGATAAAAAATACTAACAATGTCAAATATGTAAATAGAAATAGAGAAAATTTTCAAATAATTAAAATTGATTTATATTTTATCATTAAAATATTCTTTCAAACTGTAATATGTTTTTACAATAAGCATTTTCTTGAGTACTATTTCAAATTTACGACACTGGAGGGCTTTTATTGTATTAGGTAAATGATTGTAAATCCTTATAGCCATGTAGTAGGGACCATTTTTATATAATGTGAGATGTGTGGCAGGAGCAACCAGATTATAACCTCGGCGTGTGCCGTAGCGACTGGGTCTATCTTCAAATCGCCGGAAATAATGAGGATTTTTCCTAAAAAATCAGCATAATTCAAAAATGTACATGCTCGTTACAGTTAGTAAGTTATATCTAGGGAACAACCTTCGACATGAATCTCTTGGAACTGCGAATCTGATGATTCTAAGGCAGCGTTTTTGGAGCATGGATACCGCGTGTACCTCGGTAGAGTTTCTCCAGAATATAATGCCGTATCTTATCCAGGCAGCTGCATGGCTGTGGTACGCAGTAAGTGCGCACTGCTCATTAGTATCCCTACGTAGCTCACGCAGGGCATAGCAAAAACTGCTCAACTTACTCACAACTCTTTCTACATGAATTTTCCATGAAAAAGTTGAGTCTATTATTATCCCGAGGAATGAAAATGTGCGAACTTCCTCAATATTTATACCTTGGTAAGATATAGCGAGCGGGACTTCTGATCTCTGATATGCGTATATGCGAAACTGCATTATTTTGGTCTTTTGAAAATTTAGTAATAAGCCTAAAACCTCTAATTCATTCACAATTTTTATAAGGCATTGGGTTATTATTTCCTGCAAACTACTTAGATTTTTTTTTGTTTACAAGTAATTATAACTGTCGCGTCATCTGCAAACAAAACGACTCTATGTGGTGCTACTGAAGGAAGTTCGTTAATATAAATAGAAAACAACAAGCATCCTAGGACACTACCCTGCGGTATAGAACCTGTTACTGTTGCAGTGGACGAATTTATGTCATTTATCAGTTTTCGATATTCATTTATATGTGATACCTGCACGTACATCATTTGCAAACAAAACGACTCTATGTGGTGCTACTGAAGGAAGTTCGTTGATATAAATAGAAAACAACATGCATTCTAGGACACTATCCTGCGGTATAGAATCTGTTACTGTTGCAGTGGATGAATTTATGTCATTTATCAGTTTTCGATTCATTTATATGTGATACCTGCACGTACTGTTTTCTATTCGCAAGATAAGAAGAGAGCCATTCGTGCGGTTTCCCTCGTATACCTAGCGAATATAGCTTTTCCAGCAAGGGTCCATGCAAAACGCGATCGTATGCTTTGGACATGTGCATAAAAATAGCTATAGCACATCTTCCTTCATTTAAAGCATTCTGAATTTCTAAGATGCAGTCAAATACAGCGGACGTAGTAGAATGATTTTTTCGGAAACCATGCTGATATTTACTAAAAATGTGGTATTTTTCAAAAAAATTATATTTTTTACTACAAGCTATTTTCTCAAAAAATTTTTGAGATTACAGACAGTAATGCAATGGGGCGATAATTGGATACACCAGTTTTATCGCCTTTTTTTTAAAAAAATAGGTTTTATCACGGCTAATTTTAGATTTTCCGGAAAAACGCCATCCTTATACGATTGATTTATAAGAAAAGTTGAGGGCTTTACAAACTCATCTACGCAATATATGAGTAGAGTAGCTTTCATCATATCCGCAAGAATTGTTTCTTTTTAGTCCCATTATCGCTTTTTTTACATCAGCTTCTGTAACACTACTAAGATATAGTGAATTGGGCAAGGATACTCGAGATGGCCGCTTATTTAGAGAGGAGCAGTTATTTGAACTTATAGTTATATAATAATTATTGAATAAGTTTGCAACTTTACTTGGAGATGTTATATTTAAAACGTCATTACGTAAACAAATGTTTTCATATTTTACACTTTTAACTTTTTTAGTTTTTTCATTTATCATAGCCCACATAGTTTTATATTTATTACGTGACGTTTGCACTCTTCTTATGTAAGATTTTCTTTTTTCTGTGATTATTATTATTTTTAGTATTTTGCTGTAGATTTTTGTATAAGATTTTAAGGCTTCATTTTTATAGTAGTTAGTAAGATAACATAAAACACGTTTGTTGTAGCAGCATTTTTTAATGCCTCTTGTTGCCCATCTTGTCTTTTCTTTATTTTGTAATTTATACAATTTTCGTGGAATATGTTCATCTAAAATTGACTTGATTTGGTTCTGAAATTTATTATAGTTTGTATTTATATCAATCGTTGGTGTCATTATATTACACAAATTAATTTCATTTAGTTTAATTTTGAATTTTTTCATATTATTCTCATTAAAAAGTCGTTTGTTTATATTATAAGTAATATTATTTCTATTTACGTTCTCTTCCACTGGTATTTGTCCAATTAATGCGTGATGGTCTGATAAGTCATAATTTTGTACAAAAGCCGTCATGTATGTATTTTTAGAAATTATAATTTGGTCAATGCGTGATTTACTGTTTTGGGTCTCACGTGTAGGGGTTTCTATAAGACAGCGCAACCCGAATGATTTTAAAAGATTGATAAGTCTACGAGATATTTTTGTATCCCTTGTGATATCTATATTTATATCGCCCGCTATGATAATTTTTTTATTATGAGTATGTTTGGATAAGTGGTTTAGTAAAGCTTGCATTTGAACGAAAAATGTTTCTATTTCTCTCTCACTGCGATAGATTGCCACAATCAATAAGTTAGATTCAGTAATCTCCAACGCACACAATTTCACGATAAATTCTACTGTGAATAATTGAATGTCTAAACGTTCTTTAGTTTTCATGCTTTCTCTAACAAAGATACCAACCCCACCATGTATATGTTTTTGCCGCAAATACTTCGCACGTAGTTCGTAGCCCTCTAATGTGTAAAAATGATAGTTAATAGGTAATAACCGATGTTCACTTACGTTTAATATATCTATTTTAACTTCCATTAACAATAAGTTTAAGTCAATAATTTTGTTAGAAAGACATTGAATGTTTTGACACATAATTTTATAGCATTTTGGGGCGAAAGGAAGACTTCTCTGTATTAATTTTATTTCCTTGTAACGTTATTACTTTTAGATCAGAGATATCTTCTATTCGTCGATTTTCATTCAATGTTACATCATCAAATGATCTTATAAATTCGTTTATGTCATGCAAAATTATCTTTAATCCGCGTTTATATTTTGATTCCGCCTCTGACTGTGGTTGCTATTAGACGTGTGTTAGTTACACTAATTAAATATTCCTTTTAAATAACCGTCAACTTTAATTAACAGCGAAGTACTAGGAGTTCATATAATCAATGTGGTGTCTATCCGTGACTGCGTGTGTATCGTAGTACATTTGGTTTTTGCGCATCAGCTAACCGCGTGTCGTCTTTTGTTCTCTGAACAATCTACTTATAGTGTACTTCTGCTACAACGTAAACTACGGACTTAAATAAAATATCATTATGTCGATAATACGTAGATCACCCCCAGGAAGTAAAGTTCATCAAGTGTCGTCGGAGAGTGATATTTCAAACATTGAACCTGAAAATCCACTGAATTATGTTGGGAGGAGACAGAAAAAACCCAGAAATGAAGATCAAAGGAAAGGTATTGATGATTCCCTTAAAGATGAACTATTATCCATGCTCACCAATTGGAAGAAGGATCAAGATCTTACTTTAAGTAAATTGTGTTCAGATATTGCCGAACTTAAGCAACAAAACGCCATCATTCAATCAACTAATATTGAAATGTAAAAGACGTTAACGTTCATATCCACACAGTATGAAGATATGAACACTAAAATTATCAATTTAGAACGTGAACGAAAGGAAAATTATAACTATATATTGAGTCTGGAAAATAGATTAGAAGACGTGCAAAAAAGGCTTAAGTCCACAGTCATCGAGTTCCGTAATTTACCTACTCCAGCACAAAACATAAAGCAGGAGACACAACAAGACTTATGTGATCTGGTTCAAAAAGATTTGTGATGTTTTAAATGTTAATTTTTACCCATCCGAGATAAAAGACATATACAGAATTAAAACCAAAGCCGGGGTGTCTACTGTCATCACCGAATTAACTTCGGTACTGTCAAAAAATAAGATATTAAGTGGAGCGAAAGAGTTTAATAAAATTAACATTAATAATAAACTCTCCTCAAAATCTATTGGTCTTTCTAGTTCTACAATGCCGATATATATATCTGAAAGTTTAACAAAGAAGGACCGAAAACTTTATATTTTAGCACGTGATACAGCTAAAACAATGAATTACCGTTATTGCTGGACTAATAAAGGCCGAATTTATTTGCGGAAAATTGAAGGTGGCGCTCGGATAGAAATAAAAAATGAAAATGATATTGCAAATTTAAAAAATATAATATGACTAGGTACATTTATAATATTATGCATAACCTATTTAATTATGATTTCTTATAAATTGCTTGCATGTCTAACTAAGTGTGTCTCTGGCTTTATGTTTACAAAATTATTCTGTATGTATTCTAAACTACCCACTGTTTACTTTTATAATTTACTAGTTTATAAACTACTAACACATCAACCCACAAAATATTTACAAACTAATAATATATACACGCTCGACTATTTTTATAACCTCACACAAAAAAACATGCACGTTCAACTCTCAAACCAAATTAACGCTCTCACAAATTACATAATATTTGCTCTTTGCACACATTCATGGATATATTTAATATGCTTAATTATTCTTATTTTCGAATACAAGTTAAAATCTTGTTTATGCTACCTATTTAAAAACATAACTAAAAGGCGCTGCATTAAATGACCTATTAAATAATCTTGATAATACTTCCTTTAATGAAGCAATATTATGTAATCCCGAAAAAATGTGGTGATTTGCTTACGTCTTATCATAGCTGTCTCACTGTTTTGTCTCAAAATATTCGTAGCATCAATGCTAATTTTTCAGGACTTTTAACGTTATTAGAAAGAATTAATACTTGCTGCGACATTATCGTTCTTTCTGAATGCTGGCTATCTTGTAATCCTATAATTCCGATTCTCAATGGATATGATCATTATAAAACTTCAAAACACTACAATAAAAATGACGGTGTTATTGTATACATCAAGTCTTGTTTAGCTAATATTAAAGTAAAAGAACCTATAACAATTGAATTTAACTGTCTGGTGATTACTATAGGTGTAGATGTGGCTATTGTTGCTATATATAGACCACACGCTTTTGTTGATCCTTCAAAATTCTTTCAGTCTCTGGATCTTGTCCTCACGGATCTTAAATCATACCGAACCATTATTCTTGTAGGAGACATTAATATAGATATTGCTAATGGGTTTCATTCTACAAATACTTTAGATTATCTTGATCTACTTGTTCATCACGGACTTCTTCCTGGTCACAACTTCCCAACTCATGGTTCTACCAGTCTTGATCACGTTAATTTAAAAACTGCTTTTTCCGCTATGGTTCTAGTTCTGGAAACTACTGTAACAGACCACTTTGCCGTTATGTTTGCCCTCTCAAAAATTAAAATGAAATTATGTAATCGTAAATTTATAAAAAAAATAAATGAAGATAAGCTTATTCATGAATTACGCTGTATTAACTTTAACTCCGTATACACAACGAATGACCCTAACTTAGCTGTTAAATTCTTGGTCGAACCTATTATTTCAGCTATAGCCAACAATACCAAAACTTTATTTCTGTCTTGTAGACGTAGACCTATTAAGCCTTGGATCACTCTGGCTTTGTTGAAATGCATGCGAAACAGAGATAGATTATATAAAAAATCGAAAAAAGACCCATCAAATCAGATTCTTAGAATTACTTATAAAAGATATCGCAACTTCTGTACCAACCTCCTGCAAAATGCAGAAAGTAATTATGAGAAGCTAGAATTTCAAAGAGCAGGCAAGAACTCCAAACAACTGTGGAAAGTCATTCAAACTGTTACAAATTTATCTAAACAGCAATCAACGGCGTCTGATCTCCTAGACATCAACGAAATTAATACTCAAAAATCTGTTGAGGATATAAACACATATTTTTCAAATATAGGAAAATCACTAGCAGACAAATTAGAAAGAGGCTCGGCAATATTACCGGCATCCGTTACTTATTCCAAATCCTTTGTTTTGCTTGAAACTGACGAGAGTGAAGTCGAACGTTTGATTATGTCTTTGGATAATAACCGAACAGCTGGTTGGCATGGTATTTCTTCAGAATTCTTAAATAAGCACAAAAATTTTATTATTTCACCTCTTACATATATTTGTAATTTGAGTCTCCAGACAGGTATTTTCCCTGATCTGTTTAAAAAGGAAATAGTTCACCCTATTTTTAAATCCGGCGACCGAAATCGTATCGAAAACTACAGACCTATATCAGTTTTGCCTACGATGTCGAAGATCCTCGAGAAAATAATTAACACAAGGCTTGTTAATTATTTAGAGACTAATAAACTGCTCTCTAAAAATCAATTTGGTTTTCGAAAAAAGTTGTGCACATCTGATGCTGTCCACAGCCTTATTGATTTTGTAATCAGGAATCTAGATATACGTCAAAAATGTATTGCCTTGTTTCTTGACCTTACAAAGGCGTTTGATACTGTTTCGATACCCATCCTAATTTCAAAACTTCAATCTTTAGGAGTAAGAGGAATTCAGTTATCTTTATTCAAAAGTTATTTAAGTAATAGAACTCAATGTGTTAGGATTGGTCCTTATAGTAGTTCTGACCTGCAAATTACATACGGTGTACCGCAGGGAAGTATTCTCGGCCCAAGTTTGTTTTTAGTATACATAAATGACCTGTGTAACATCAATCTTCTAAACGGGATGATCTTTTCCTACGCAGATGACACAGCACTTGTGTTTCATTCGAATACTTGGATTGAAACATATTCCCTTGCTCAAAAAGGTTTGACGTTGTAAATAAATGGTTAAACGCGCATTTACTTACGTTAAACATAGATAAAACAAAATTAATAGACTTTTCTATTCGAAACACAAAAAATTCAACAACAAACTCATTACAAATCGTTGTTAAGCCTCCCCCTTGATATAAGAAATAGTACAGACAATAACGACCTACACTATATAAAAAAGTGACATCTATAAAATATCTCGGAATTATAATTGATAATAACCTCACATTTAAAGCTTACATTGAACACCTGTCAAACAGAGTCCGTAAACTTATTTACATTTTTAAACAATTACGTCAATCTTCAGATTCAGAAATCATGAAGATGGTTTATATGGCATTGTGTCAATCTATTTTATCTTATTGCATATCCACGTGGGGTGGTGCGGCTAAAAGTAATTTTATACAAATTGAACGGGCACAGAGAGCAGTTTTAAAAGTATGTTGTTTCAAACCGCGTATGTTTCCTACAGACCAACTTTACGACTATTGCCAAGTACTAACAGTTAGACAATTATTCATTTTAACCACCGCTCTCAAACAACATGCCTCAACCAAATATATCCCTGAATGGACACGACGTAACCAACTAGTTGCAAAGTCTACTCAAGTTAAAACTGCATTTAGTCATAGATTCTTCATATTCCTTGGCCCCTATTTATATAGTAAATTGCATAAAACCTTATCCCTCTTTTCCCGAAATCAATATGAGTGCAAAAATATTATTCTCCAGTGGCTCCTTAAGCAAACCTATGCAAAAAACAGAAAGTCTTTTAGAGGTTGTCGTGTAAAATACACACACACACACACACACACACACACACACACACACACACACACACACACACACACACACACACACTTTTCTAAGTTTTCTTAACCATAACCAATTATCTCAATTAGGTACGACAAAAAAGTAAATAGAGTTAAACTTTATGTGTTAATGTTTTAGATATAATAGCATTCCTCGCAGAGGTGGGGACCTGGTGATCTGTAATACGGGTATCTTACCCACCATAGGCACCAGCGATCCACGGGCAAAGTTGTTTTGTACTACTTATAGGCTACTTATAACTCTAAATGTAACTTTGTTTTGTGGTGAGAAATAAACGTTATTATTATTATTATTATTATATAATTTTCCATTATATCCTGAGAACATATGAGTAGAATAGTCAAAATTTTTGTTGGAGTCTAAAATGTAACAATATTCAAAATTAATATTATCAGAGTATAAAAGGTTATTAAAGGTTTCAATTCGTCTATTATAAATATTAGAGTGGTAACAAAATTTAAAAGTAGGCAGACATATCAAGATGTTTGTGTGCTGAACGGTCAAAAGAGTCTTCCTTATATTCGTAACTAAATCATTATAATTTTTGGAAACATCAAAATCAGTTTCACCTACAATTAAAATACAAAAATCATTAAGGGTGTAATTCATAAGTTTTGTTTGTTGACCACTTAACAGTTGGTTAATACCACCTCCCATTATGCGGTAGTGGCAGATGTTTTGCGTTTCGAAGTGGTTTCTCATTGTAGTCGCCATTTTATTGCTACGAATGCTACTAATGATGCATAGTTTCCTTTTCGGTAGATATTTGCAAGTTTCTTCACTAGTCCTAATTTTTGAAGTTAGGGATTCGACATAATCATTTACATATTTTTCAGGTTGAGTAGCACGCAGTGTTTCTTTAAGCTTTATTCGTACAACACATTCGAAACTATGGCGTGTATCTGACTTTAAACTTTTCCTGTTTTGTTTTTTGTGTTTACTTAAAGGTGTTGAGTTATAGGAATTATTGACTATTTTTCTCAATTTTACGTCGTCGATACTAACACTTTTGTAGAGTTTTATAATTTTTTCTTGTTCTAAAATTTTTTGGTAAGTTTTCTATTCGTTATGTTTAAATTGTCCACCTCTTTGTTCGCTATAATTAGTTCTGTACGTAACCTTGAAACTTCTTCTTTTAACTCTTGTATGATTAAGCAAACTTAAGTCTTCGTCTGGTAGACTGCGAGAGGTTTTTTGTAAATTTAATGAATGAGAGTGTGT